GGGTCTATTCGGGTCGGTTCTTTTCGGGTCCGGGTCTATTCGGGTCGGTTCTTTTCGGGTCCGGGTCTATTCGGGTAAAAGAAATTTAGACCCAATAGGTACTTGTAAATTTTCGAGTCGGGTTCGGGTCGGGTATTTTCGGGTCGGTTCCGGTTCGGGTCTTCGGGTCCGGGTAAAATTCCCAGGCCTAGATGATCATATCAGATGAGGTGCAAGGTGTCTTCGATTGGGACCTGCTCCTGTTGGGCCATTTTATTTAAAGCCTAATGGCTATTTAATAAAAGGCAGGTTTTGAAAAGAAATGGGCTAAAGGGTTAATAAAAAACCTTGCTAGCATTAATGAAAGAAATGGGATTTGTCCCACATCGAATATGAGAGGTCAAATAGAGTGCTATATATATGTGTTCACTCTATCACTTGTTCAAATGGCGCATGAGAGAGACTAGACTCACTCCCCACGTGCGCCGCTGCTGTCCAGCTCGGTTTGCCGCGTGCGCTTGGGTCTTGGTTCTTATTGGGTCCGTGTATTTTTTTGGATCAAACTAAACCCATGTTTTGCGATTTTTAAATTAAAAAACATGATTACGTTTGTAAATAAACAACACGTACTTTGTGTAAAAACAACACGAAGTCTATCTTGTTCAAATGGCGCATGAGAGAGACTGGACTCACTCCCCACGTGCGCCGCTGCCGTCCAGCTCGGCTTGGCGCATGCGCTTGGGTCTTGGTTCTTGGTTCTTATTGGGGCTGTGTATTTTTTTGGATCAAATTAAACCCAATGTTTTGCCATTTTTAAATTAAAAAACAGGATTACGTTTGTGAATAAACAACACGTAGTTTGTGTAAAAACAACACGAAGTCTATCTGTTTGCCAAACAATTTTGAACGAGTCAAATAAAAGAGAAGATCTTTCGAAGAAAGTTTCTGAGCTTCCACTCCCGAGATCTCAACGAGATTTTCGCCCACGTGCAGCAGTTGTTCCGGGAAGTGGATCTTCTCCGTCTCTTTAAAAATATTGCCTCTCCTCCTTCTTCATTCTTAATTTTTTTACGCAAGAAAAAACCAGCAAATCTCCCAGAGTAAGTTTAGAGAGTGTTCGTAGAATTTAAGTTCGTTAGGTCGTTTCACGAGTGAAGCATGATTCGTCTGTCATTTTTAAATTAAAAAACAGGATTACGTTTGTGAATAAACAACACGTAGTTTGTGTAAAAACAACACGAAGTCTATCTGTTTGCCAAACAATTTTGAACGAGTCAAATAAAAGAGAAGATCTTGCGGAGAAAGTTTCTGAGCTTCAACTCCCGAGATCTCAGCGAGATTTTTGTCCACGTGCAGCAATTGTTACGGGAAGTGGGTCTTCTCCGTCTCTTTAAAAATATTGCCTCTCCTCCTTCTTCATTCTTAATTTTTTAACGCAAGAAAAAATCAGCAAATCTCCCAGAGTAAGTTTAGAGAGTGTTCGTAGAATTTTAGTTCGTTAGGTCGTTTCACGAGTGAAGCATGATTCGTCTGCCATGGTTGTATCCTGAGACTCGATATTTGTATAGTTTCTTCTCACTACGGAGTGAATAGTAAGAGTTATGGAAAGAGATTTATCTCGCCTCCATGTCTTATATGATCGTCCATTTCCTTAACTCCGTCTTTCTTATATCGTTCATGTCGATCCGGTTTTCCGGCTTCTACAGCTCCGGCTACAACAAAAGACGCTATACAACCTTTTTTGGCTTATTCAGATGGGCGTCAGGCAGGTGTTATCCTCCAGACAAGTGCAGAGTGGTCCTAGAGAGAATTACTATATGGTAGTCTAAGCCGACGATTTCCTTTTCATTATCCCAAAATGTATTGCTACTCGTGCAAATTCGATTGCCAAAGCCTTAAGAAATTCAAGAAACATCTCTCGAGTTTTAAACATATACGCGAAGTAAGAACATATTATTTAAGAATAATCTTAGTTTTTTTTAGGGAAAATTTCAAAAAAAAACATGAAATTGGCAAAAGTTTATATTTTAAACCTTGAGATTCAACTGCTAACACTTTAAACAATGAAACTTGTAACAATAACATATTAAACATCGAACTAACTTACTTGCTGCATACGTAAAAATTGTGACCTGTTACTGTTCACTAGCGGGTAAAAAATGGTGAAGTGGCGGTTTATTTAAAAAAACAATAATAAAAACAAATAAATTTAGATAAAAATAAATAATTTTTTAAAAATTGATATAAATTCAGGAAAATAAATAAATTAAAAAAATAAAAATAAATTTATAAATTCAAAAGTTGGTAATAAAAATAAATAGTAAAAATTGATTAAAACTAACAAAAGAGTAAAAATAATAAAAAGATAAAATAGAAATTAAAAAATTGTAAAAATGGATAAAAATTAGAAAACATTAAATTTTATAAAAAATTGGAAAAAATGAAACTTCAAAAAAATAAAAAAAAATCAAAATCAAAAAGAACGATAAAAATTAGGAAAAATTAATAAGGTCATTGAAAATAAAATTTCAAAAAAAAATAAAATACTGAAATTTAAAAATAAGGATCAAGAAAAACTAAATTTTTGAATTCTAGAAAATAATAATAATAACAAAAATAAATTATAAAAATTGATTAAAAAGTAAGAAACAAAATCTGGAAAAAAAAAGAAAACCATGAAAGTGGAAAAATTGACAAAAACCCATGAAATTGGCAAAAGTTTTGAATCCAAATCTCTAGGATCTGAATCCGGACATCTGAACGCTTATAAATAAAATGCTTTTATCGATTTTTACACTTTCTTTTTATTTATTTTTCTTTTTACTTTTTTCTTACTATTTTGTTAGTTTCAATCAATTTTTACTATTTATTTTGATTTTTATTATAAACTTTTAAATTTATAAATTTATTTTCATGTTTTAAAATTTCTGAAGTTTATTTATTTTCTTTATTTTTTTTCCTGAATATATATCAACTTTTAGAATTTATATTCATTTTTTATCTAATTTTATTTGTTTTCGTTAATTTTTTTTTAGGTAAACCACCACCTCACCGATTTTTACCTACTAGTAAGCAGTAACAAATCACAATTTTGATGTGTGCAACAAGTAAGTTAGTTCGATGTTTAATATGTTATTGTTACAAGTTTTATTGTTTAAAGTGTTAACAATTGAGCCTCACTGTTTAAAGTGTAAACTTTTGGCAACTTCATGATGATTTTTTTATGCAATTTTCCTTTTTTTTAGTTAAATGATCCCAACAAACTGTTTTACTCTCTTGATCAGATATTTAGGCACGTGGCTATTGGCTTCCCTATTTGGAGCGTCATCTGCCTTTAATGGGCTTAAGTTCTCTAATGGGCTTTAAATAGCTGTGAAAGCCCGGATTAAAGCTTTTAAGTGTTTTATTTTGCGCGGGGGCGAAAATTAAAACCCCAAGAAAGAAATAAGATCGGAGCGAGAAAGAAAGGAGAAGGGCGATTACGAAAACAATGGCGCTTGCGGGTTTAGGGAAGTTGAATCTGGAGGAGGCTCCTCCGATCTGCGGATCTCGTAGCATTGATTGCTTCCAGAAGCTTAAACTCATTCGCCATGGCACTTTCGGGTAATCTTCTCAATTTCTTTCTCTCCTTTGATCTATCACTGTAATCTGATTTTACATGATTGACATTAAGTGAGTGAATCTGATTTGTATATTGCAGTGAAGTTTACATGGCTAAAGAAATCGAAACTGGTGAAATCGTTGCTCTCAAAAAGATCCGTATGAACGATGAAATGGAAGGGGTTAGATAGTTAGTTACTATCCCTTTTTAGTTTCTATTTTGAGATGCAAGTTTCTGAATCGAGTATATGGCGATTTTGTTATGAAGTTTCCTGTAACAGCGATTAGGGAGATCAAGATCCTGAAGAACCTACATCATGAAAACGTTATCGTTTTGAAAGAGGTCGTGTATTCACCAGTTCCAGACAAGGATGATCAAAGAGGTTGTGAAACTGATTATATTTTATTTAGAAACTCAGATATGACTACAATAGATTGATTTGGTACTTCTTTATGCTCCTATTTTTTTAGCAAATGTCATCAATTTGAAAGAGGTTGTGTATTCACCAGTTCCAGAGAGGGATGATCAAGAAAAGCTAGGTTTTTGTGAAACTGATTCAATCTCTTTCATTAAATTTCTCTGTGGAGAACTTAGACATGACTATTATCGATTTGATTTGATAGTCTCTGTAGATGATAACAAGTACAAGGGAGAAATCTATATGGTTTTTGAGTACATGGAACATGACTTGGCTGGACTTGCTTATCGTCCTGGAACTAGATTCACAGCTCCTCAGATCAAGGTATTTACATGGCTACATACCTTGTTTGTAGTAGTAGGCTTTGGAAAAAACTAATTGTTCCAGGCTTTGTTCTGACCTTTCAACATATGTGAAAAAAAGTGTTGCATGAAGCAACTCCTCACTGGGCTTCACTATTGTCATGTGAGAAAAGTGCTTCACCGTGATATTAAAGGTGACTATCCGCAATATACATTTGTTTGTTCTCGCCTCCCTTTTTTACTTACTTGGTTTACAGGTTCAAGTCTCCTTATTGACAAGAAGGGAAACTTAAAGCTGGCGGATTTTACACTTGCACGGACTCTGTCCCTTGAGTTTCCTGGAACTTTGACAAACCAGGTCACCACTTTGTGGTATAGGTATTATATGCCTAGAATTGTCTCTACTGATTGCATCGGTTTATTGTTTCTTCAGCATGGCATTGTTTTAATTGCTCGGCAGGGCCCCTGAGTTGCTACTTGGTGCTACTGAATATGGTCCAGCGGTTGACATATGGTCAGTTGGTTGCGTGTTGGCTGAACTTTTGAATGGAGAACCAATCTTGCCTGGAAAAACTGAGGTCAGAGAGAAAGAGAGCTCTTTTTTATACTTTTTTTGAATATCTATGATCAGTGTTGAACTCAAACTGTTCGTATCTTCTAGATTGACCAGGTGAAGAAGATATATGAGCTTTGTGGATCACCTGATGGAAACAATTGGCCTGGGGTTTCCGAGATGCCTTTGTATAAACGATCTGAACCAGCACTGCCTCTGCAGAGACGCGTAATAGAGACATACTGGCAGTAAGTATTGTTTTAACCCATTTTGTTGTTGCGCCACCTTTATCTAGGACCAGGAGAGATCTCATTGTAAGACCTTTTTTTAATCTCTTGTGTTACAGCTTTGATGCTCATGCTCTTGAACTGCTGGAGTGTATGTTGGTGCTGGACCCGTCTAAGGTACAGAGAATTATTATCTGAAATATTGCAGAAATCAAGACTTAAAAAAGTCCTTTGCTGGTGCAGAGAATATCCGCAAAAGATGCTCTTGACTCTGATTACTTTTGGAGTGAGCCATTACCGTGTGAACCAAAGAGGTGAGAATTGAAACGAACTCTCTTTGGTTCTTTACCTCATTTGGTTCAGTATTTTGATCAGACACTGTTTTTTATTTTCTTTTATGTCTCAAACGCAGACTACTGACTTCATATAAATCATCACATGAGGTCCAGACCAAGAAAAAGCGGAAGTCGATGGCTCGTAAAGCAGCCAGGTAACAGGAAACTGCAGCATCCGCATCTGCAATTGATGTATATAATCTTTGATGCCTAGTAGGCTTATTAGTTAGTTTTTTCTTGCAGGTTTTGAGGTGCAGGAGATAGTTGAAGAAGATGAGGAAGGACACTAAAGTTTGTTTGAGATGTAGATAATATTACTGAAGGATATTTCTTTGGAGACGTTATGATAGATAATCTGCGTTGATTGATGTATAGTCTTAAGATCCGGTTTTGTATGCTGGTGGACAAACGAAACTAAACCGAACTATAAACCGGATTTTCCAACTTAAAAACTAAATTTTTTATCGGTGAACGAGAAAAGCGAACCGGTCACGAGAACGAGAATTTAGTTTTTACCGGTTTGTGTGTCGGTTTAATGCAAAAACGATTTAAACCAATGAATTAACCCCGATAAGGGCTTAAAACCTTTTGAGGGAGAGAGGGAGAGAGAGGGGGAGGAAAGCTAAATTGATTTAGAAATTCGCCGGTGAAGTTGTGATCGGAGAAAGAAGGATGGCTGCTGCGGATTTGGGGATGTTGAATCTGGAGGAAGCTCCTCCAGTTTCTGGATCTCGAAGTGTCGATTGCTTCGAGAAGCTTGAACAGATTGGTGAAGGCACTTACGGGTATTCTCCTTCTTCTTCTCTTTTTTTTTGTTCTCTGATTTGGTTTGTGGGTTGCATTATTATGATTGTGAAGTTCGTGTTTTGATCTATAAAAATTGTTGCTTTAGGTGCCCTTGTATATATAATCTCATGAAGCTTGATTTTATATATTTGGTGATATACAGCTAATAGCTTTGTTGATTAAGTGAAATTGAGATCTTTAGATTTATTCAGACTTGGTTCTCAGAACATGTTCAAATATGGATTTTCATTATTATCATAAGTTAATGTATCTAGTGAATAAACTTCTCAGGCTAGATATTGATATGTTTGGGTATTTGATTTTTTGGCAGGCAAGTGTACATGGCTAAAGAAAACAAAACTGGTGAAATCGTGGCATTGAAAAAGATACGTATGGACAATGAAAGAGAAGGGGTAAAGCCTACATTTGATTTCACTACTACTATGCTTTGAAAAACTTTGTGAATTGACAATATGACTTATGATTATTACTCTTTGTTTGAAAGTTTCCTATAACTGCTATCCGGGAGATAAAAATTCTGAAGAAGCTTCATCATGAAAACGTCATCCATTTGAAAGAGATTGTCACTTCTCCAGGTAATTAAAAAGAACACCTGTCTCGTCTTGACATTTACTTATAGAAGTTCCCTTGAAGAGGTGTTTTATTTGATAGTTTTGTTGCTTTTTTGTCTTTAAAAGGTCGAGATAGTGATGATCAAGGAAAGCCAGGTTAGTAAAACTTATCCAAGATGGACTTAGATACGACTAGGATGGATCTATTAAAAGCTTGTGGCTTCGTTACTATTTTTGTAGATGATAACAAATACAAGGGTGGAATCTACATGGTCTTTGAGTACATGGATCATGACTTGACTGGACTTGCTGATCGTCCTGGACTCAGATTTACTGTTCCCCAGATCAAGGTAGTTTTGCGTGGCTACATACCTTGTTTGTATTAGCCTTTGCAAAACCTATTTGTTACGACTTTTGTCTGACATTTCGACATATGTATAAACAAAAGTGTTACATGAAGCAACTGCTCACTGGGCTTCACTATTGCCATGTGAATCAAGTGCTTCACCGTGATATAAAAGGTGACTATCCCCAAATTACATTGCTGACCGTTTTGGTTTGTCTCATTAGTTAACCCATATTTATTGTTGCAGGATCAAATCTCCTTATCGACAATGAGGGGAATTTAAAGCTTGCGGATTTTGGGCTTGCACGGTCATATTCTAATGATCATACTGGAAATCTTACAAACCGTGTCATCACATTGTGGTATAGGTATGTATTGCCTACAAATTTTTAAGTTTATATACATGATCGAGAGATGATAAGTATTGCTTATTCCTGCATCTTCGTCTCTACTTAATGTGTTGTGGCGGTAGGCCTCCTGAATTGCTACTTGGTGCTACAAAATATGGACCTGCGATTGACATGTGGTCTGTTGGTTGCATATTTGCTGAACTTTTGAATGGTAAACCAATCCTGCCTGGGAAAACTGAGGTCAGGGTTTCCATCTTTAGAATATTCTTTAGTACTAGCACACTCTACTTTGATGTTGTTTCCACTTACAACATTTTGCTTAAATGTGTGTTTCTCCAGAGTGAACAATTGAATAAGATTTATGAACTTTGTGGATCACCTGATGAGAACAACTGGCCTGGAGTTTCGAAGATGCCTTGGTTTAACCAGATGAAATCAACTCGGCCCTTGAAGAGACGTGTCAGGGAGATGTACCGACAGTAAGTGTAAAACCATTATGCAGCTGCGAAACTTTACTTTGATCAAGGAGAGATCTCATTTTGGCGTTTTCTCTTATACTATAGTTTTGATCGCCATGCACTTGAACTACTGGAGAAAATGTTGGTGCTTGACCCTTCTCAGGTATCAAACCAATCCAACACGTTAGCAAAATTACAGAAATCAAGAGCCTTGGTTCCTGACATTTAAGTTGTTTTTGTTGGTCCAGAGAATATCCGCAAAGGATGCTCTTGATGCAGAGTATTTTTGGACTGATCCGTTGCCATGTGATCCAAAGAGGTAATGGAATCCTCCAAGTTTGTTATTGTTTACCAATACTCTTCTTGTTTCTTAACCAGACGTTGCCTTAAACAGTCTACCAACATATGAATCATCGCACGAGTTCCAGACAAAGAAAAAACGGCAACAAATGCGCCATAACGAGGAAGCAGCTAAAAAACAGAAACTGCAGCATCCTCCACAGCAACACTCTCGTCTGCCTCCACAGCAGCACGGTGGTGGTCAGTCTCATGCCGCTGCACATTGGCCTTCCGGACCAAACCACCCTATGAACAACGCACCACCACCACCACTACCTGCTGGTGGACCTAGCGGCCACCACTACTATCAAAAGCAACGTGGTGGTGGTGCCCCTGGTCCAAACCGGTACCCACCTAGCGGAAACCAGTCCGGTGGTTACAATAATCAGAGCCGTGGAGGTAGTTACAGCAGCGGAGGACCATATCCTCCACAAGGTCGAGGAGGTGCACCATATGGCGCAGGTCCTAGAGGACCTAGCAGTGGCTATGGTGTTGGTCCACCTAACTACTCACAAGGTGGTGGTGGTCAGTACGGTGGCTCTGGAAGAGGTCAGAACCCAAGTGGTAGTGCTAGAAACCAACAATATGGATGGCAGCCATAAAGAGGAGCTCAAAGACTTCTATTACTGAACTTCATTTTCCCAAACATTATGTGATGTTGGTGAAATAGATACTGAATATTCTGTATGTTTGTATCCTTTTACACGACCAAGCTTTATATTTAAGAACACAGCAAACCAAATTGGAATCTCAGATCTTATTACTTTTTTATTGCAATCATTTGTTTCATAATCAATATAGTTTTGTGGAAAAAAAAAAAAAAGAGGAAGTAGCTTGAAGAGCAATAACACTAGCTATTGTGCTGATTCAACCTTCATGACAACTTTCATGAACTCATACACAAAGTAACTAATCGCTGCTGAAGGTAGAACCTGCAATTACCAGAGGATTAAGAGCTGTGTAAGACAAGAATCTAAGAGGTTACCAGATAATGAGCTGGGAATCAAGCCAGCATGAGCATATTACGCAGGAACACCACCTTGTACAAGTAGGAAATGCTAGTAATGCTATAAGTGTTACGATGTTCAATCTCTAAGACAGTCTTATGATACCATCTTTTATATATAAACTATGCTACCGTCTTTCTTGGTTTCTTTCAATAATATTTGTACCGTCTTTGTTGATGTGACTGAAGTATCATCTTTCTTGATAATGTCCGTTTTCAGTGATGTTGTTGTTCATTTGATTGATCATAAAATAATGAGAAGCATTAACCGCGTCTCTCTCATCAATACTTCAGGACCAAACCGAGTAATAGTCAAAAGTATTATTGTGGTAAATGGTGTCATGTGCATGTAGGGATGTTAATATGGTAAAACCCATCTCATTTAAACCCACCTCGTTTAAGACTCATCCCATTTAGAACTCATATCCGTTTATATCCATCTAAAAATAGGTCTATTAGAGTTACCTATTTAAATTTAGTAATTTTATTCTAACCCATTTAGATCCACTTAAACTATTGTTGACTTTTAATTCTAATTTTATGTTTCGATTTAAAATTATCTTTTCCTGCCAAACCGAGAAATTACGTTTTCTCATCAAAACCAAAAATTATGTTTTCTCACAAAAACCAAAAATTTACGTTTTTTCGTCAAAACCGGAATATTACATTTTCTTGCCAAACCAAGAAATTACGTTTTCCGCCAAAACCGAGAAATTACGCTTTCCCGCAAAAACTAACTGAGAAATTACGATTTCCCGTTAAAACCGAGAAATTAAGTTTTCTCACCAAAACCAAAAAATTACGTATTCTCGCCAAAACCGAAAATTACGTTTTCCCGTCAAAACCGTAAAATTTCGTTTTTCCGCCAAAACTGAGAAATCACGTTTTCCCGCCAAAACCGAGAAATTACGTTTTTCAGTCAAAATCCAGAAATTACGTTTTTGGCCGAAAATCTCAATTTTGGTTTTGGCGAGAAAAACTTTATTTTCGGTTTTGGCGAGAAAAAACTATATTTTCGGTTTCGGTGGAAATCTCAAATTTTCAAATTTTGACGGGAAATTTTGATTTTTCATGTTTGGCGGGAAAATTCAATTTTGGTTTTAGCGAGAAAAAACTTTATTTTCGGTTTTGGCAGAAAATCTCGATTTTTTAATTTTGGTGGAAAATCTCAGTTTTCGATTTGAGTGAGAAAACTCTATTTTCGGATTTGGCAGAAAAATGATTTAGGTTAACTATAAAATTATTTATTGTATAAAGATTATTTAAAGTAAAATAAATAAGATAAATTTAAATTATAGAAAAAATCGTAAATGGATTAACCGGGTGCCCATTTATTTTAGTTAATCCTCATTTAATAAATATATTTTAATAGGGTTACCTATTTGAAACCTGACAAGTTAAATGAGTTTAAATGAACATTTATTTTTTTCTAAAACCTATTAAAAACCCACTAACAAAACTCATTTTAATATCTCTATCCATCCTAGTACTATTCTCGTCTAAACACGCTTAACTGCGGAGTTCTGATGGGATAGGGTGTATTAGTGCTGGTATCGCACCCAAGGTGTGTAGTGTTTCAGATATGGGCGAAAGAACAATTGAAAACGACTTCGTTTCCTGCGTTTAACTCTTTACCCCCGAAAAAACCGGATCATAAATCAAACCGATCAAACTAAATCCTTTTTATAAACCGGAGTCTTTTTAACCGGGATAGTAATTTTCTTTTTCGTAATCCGGAAAAAGGTACGGCTGGGTCGCAGATGGGCTTTTCATTAATTGTCAAATATTTCAAAGATACATATTGATTATAGAACATGAGAACTCTAGTGATGCATATTAACACATACAGTATATACTTTCTATTTGTATCCACTAATAACATCCAGGTAAATACATTATACACATTTCTTTTATATTCTATCGACTGATCTGGTCAATTTCGGAGAAAACACACTTAGAACTTACAAACTGGACATTTAAGACATGTTTGTTGGAAGTTTTTAGAATGGAGTTCTTAACTCATAATTTAACCCTTTTTTTTTGTGTTTAGAGTTGATTCCTATATTTTTAATTTAAGAATTGGTTCTATATTTCTTAGTTAAAAGTTAAAAAAAACGTATCTTAACCCAAACTAATAACTCCATCCTAAAAATCCTCATCTTAGGATTGTAGAGTGTACTGGCTATCTAAACATTGTGTATAACTATAAGCACAAGACTGCATGCGAATTATGAACTATTTACGCATTGATATTTTTGATATCTAGATAACTTACAAAAGGTTTCATAACCATTTACATTATAAAAACAGTTATAAGCGAAATAAACAAACTTCATTACTATACCTATGAGATTACACAAGGGAGTAATATCATACAATGGGATGACGATGATGGTAGGTATCTAAAAATTTTCAATATGGAGGAGATATTTGTTGGATAGACTGAAGAAGAGAGTGTTGGTTCCAGTTATCATGATCATATGAGAAAACCATGTCATTGTAATAGACATGCGAGGGACTCTCATGGTTATGCACTCCTTCATAGGTTGTAATCACATAAGCTGCGTCTTCACCATCTCTCTCTACTCTCTTCTTCACTATGCAACCTTCACTTGAACATTTGTAGTAATTCCTATATACATATATTCACATTCATCAGTTTTAATTACTTTAATAAATTTCCCACCAATAATAAACTGTATAGCCAAGATTGATCTCTAAAATGTGTTTTCAAGATACATGTGATGCGATTGTTTTGTTTCTTCTATGATATATGAGTCAAAAACAAGAGATATATAATGAATGATTGTCAGCCATGGATTAGTCAATTTACCTCTAATCAATCAGAAAGATATGAATATATATAAACAAAAAAAAAACATACAAGAGGATGCATGTGGAATCTGTATTTTAATACTAGTGGGTTGGTAACTAATACGGGACCATCAAACAGTATTCAAATCACTATATGATCTAGTTAATTAGTGGAATATATTCTAGCATACCACCAATAGAATTACAAGATGATGAACTGATGTTAGAAAATATCCAAGCAACCATATGTTAAACTTTTAAAGAACAACTACTTAAAAATATTATCAATCAACAACTAAATGAAATGAGTTATTTAACTTTTAAAATTAATTGATTATACCTCTTGTTAGTGTTGTTCTTCACAGATTTCTTCCCATACTTCCTCCATTTATAACCATCATCCATCACATCAATCTTTGATCTTGTTCTAAATGCAACTCTATGACCCGTCTCCTTCGTCTCACCGTCTTTACTTCCCCTACTTTTGCAACCAAACCTATTCAAAAAAAAAATCATCATATATTAATATAGTTAATATAAAGTTTTGGTTAAGAAGAATATAGACAAAAAAATATAACTAAAAACTCACGTTGATTCCTTTTTACTTAACGTCGTTATTCCACTGCCGGACCCACCACTTTCACCGGTAAATGTCTCCGACGAAACGATGCTTACCGGAGATGAAGTTTCCTCTTGGATGAATCCATTGTTGCCTCCTTCACCAACATCAAAAATCAAATCGGTGAAATCAAAATTATCCATGAAAGGATTAATAAAGTTTTCATCGGAGAAGAATGGAAAATTAGGGCTAGGGTTTTGAGAGATATTCATTTTTTTTCTTTTTTCAAATAGAGGAAAAAAAATTGAAAGAAAGAGAGAGAGATCTTTAGAGCATAGTAGAGCAAGTGAAGAAGGGGAGACAAAGAAATGAATGGTCATTTATTTATATGAATATATTAAGTATATTTATTACGAATCTTATAAAAGATAATTAAAGAGATAAGATTAATAAACATTTACTAATGACAAGCAATTTCAGGGCAGATACTAGGAAGGTGCTTCAAGGCCACGTGTGGAGAGAACAAGGCCATGACGTCATTGTAATGACGTAAGGAGCGACGGCAGTGTAATGAAAAGTGAGCTTCCACTTAAAGTAATGAGTTTTGCTTCTGAGAGTTATTATCGGCTACGTTAAAGTCCACTTTAACTTTAGTGCTCGGTAACGTGAAGATTTGGATTTTTGTTTTTAGATCGACGGTTGAAGATGCATGTTGTATGTTTGCTTCAGATGCGTCTAAAACAGACAGGAGTTTCTGTACTTTACAGTGCACACCAAGACAAGAAGATTTGACTTATTGAATTCTGAAAATGTTCCATAGATATTGTGATAAAACTTTATCGATTTGTTTGGCCTAACTTCCGTTAAAGCGATTATAAAACAACTGAGCTATTTATGCAGATGATTAAAAAAAGAGACCTATGTTTTAGTCAACCATAACGCATAGATATGTTTTTTTTTGGGGTCAAAAACGCATTCGATATGTTTTCAACAAAATCTTACAAATCAAATCCACTCCAGGTTTGATAGGAAGCCTATATAAAATTACGTCATTGCTTCTTTGTTATCGACAGAATATTATCACTAAGGAATTTCTAGCTCATAGCACTGACCCACGTATACTACATGAACAAAAATTTCAAAGTCTATTCCTAAGTCAACGATCCAAAGTGATCTTTTAATCTTCTCTTGAAGCCAAGGTAAGAAAGACGAAATTTCCTGGTGTCGCTGTTGATTGTGTTTGTCACCATGATAATAAAGCTGGGCACCTATATTTGCTATTTGGTTTGTACTTTATATTTGACTCGTACTCGATTTGAAAATTAAGTATTTGACGTTCTCAAATCAAGTACTAAATATGCAAATCATATTACAAGTATAAGTTAAGTATCAAGTATCACGATTTTTTTTATTATTCGAATTGATATTTGTTTTACTACTTGTTTATTATTATTTTTTTAAAAAGATGTATTACTCTTTAAAATACTTGTTTTATTACTAATATTGTAATAAAAATAAAAAATATTTTACTTTAGATATTTATGTAATGTATAATTATTACAAATGAAACATATACACTCGCTAAATCAAAATACTCGAACAGGCTAAATAGATTAATAAGTATATGAAAAAATAAAAGTATTTGTTCCACATTACCTGAATTTATATGTTTTGGTAAATTTAATTTTAAAATTTTAAATTTAGGTAAACAAGTATCAAGTATTATCAAATAACAAACAAATATATATTTAAAATATAGACAACTATTCGATTAACTAAGTACCTGATTGAAACAAGTACAAGTATAAGCCGAAAATTCTAATACTTGCACAAAGCAAGACAAATAGCAGATAGGGTGAAAAAAAACAAATACCCGACTTGCGAGGCCTACACGATAATATTTGAAGTTGGAAGTTCAGACAAAAATAAGGAGTTAACAGATAAAAAACAGAAACATGTTATGTGGTTTTCTTATAAGAAAATACATGTGTGGTAATCATATTAGATACTACGTACCTCATTGAGTGATTACATGCTAATGGTTATAAAACCTGAAATCAAATAGTGTTTTCATTAACTCTAAAATAAGATGGTGCTCGAAAAATATGATTAATGTAAGTATAGTCTGAAAGGATTAACCAGATGGGGCGGCTGGTCAAAGGTGAACACATTTGCCAGTGTGGGGTTCGAGTCTATAGAAACCATTTTGTGTGGGGTAAGTCTATAATTAAAAAATTACTTATGTACTACTGCTATCTTTTTATGAATTGCTTTGAAAGTGATGGAGATAAATATTAATGAACGCCTACCACCCATCAGAAAATAAATAAATGCATCCTTCTGTAAGCTACTTTATTATAAAAACTGAAATTGATATTCATTGAATTCCAATCATGAAGAAAGTTTTAAGTCTGATCTTTACTCTCTCTGTTTCATAATATTACATATTTTAGAAAAAAACTTGATTTAAAAAAAATACATTTTTAAAATATATTTCATCAAATAATAATGATTAATTACATTAATTTCCCAAAAACTTAATTGTATTTATTAGATTTTCATTGATTTAAATTTATAAGAAATTGGTAATTACAAAAGACTATGTATTTATTATGTATTTTATTAATATATGTGAAAAATAAAATATATAACAAATTAAAACAGAAGGAGTACTAAACTAGCTTTGTAGAACTCGAATTGAAATGTACTTCCTTCTGTTTCAAATGTTAAATATTTTAAGATTTTTACGTATATAATTTTTTTTTTATGAATTTTAATTACCAATACATTTTTTGTAATTAATTATTCTCAATAATTTTTAACTAGTGTAATTTTAATAAATATTTTGAAAATTACAAATTATTGATATATTGAAAATGTAAAAAATAGATATTTTGAAACAAAACAATTCTATAATATGTAATATTTTGAAACAGGGGGAGTACATCCCAACAGAATAGGGTTTGAGTTAAGCTATATGATAACTTTGTTGGTCAATAAAACCTTTTGGTGGAAGTGAGGTCAGGTTAACTACTCTCTGGTTATTCGAGCTCGGGATCTTAGAGACTTTTATTTAACGGTTATGCAAGTCTATTTACATTTCACTGTAATAATAGACATCTGTGGTTTTAATCACTGCACCAATATTCTACCACACAGTCACATATACCAGATTTTCCAGTCCAACCTAAAAAGCTTATCAATATAATTAATATCAATCCAACCAGAGGAATGAAAACAAATATTAATCTCAAAATCAAAACTAATAAGCATAGAAGAAACTGTGATATCTTCAAAACAAATATAAATCAAAACTAATATATATATAAGAAAATATGATGAACTATTATGAAGTCGAAGTATGTTTTGCATCTCTCATTAACCTACATGTTGTGCAAGGGGTTTGGACCTGCAGGGATAATTCGCTTCTCTTCTTCTTCTTCGTTGCCATCGATCTTTCTCCGAACTTTAGATGATCTTCCTCTGAATTTATTAAACGTTGACATCTCCGTGATCACAAACTCGTGATGATTCTTGTAATCTTGCACTCGAGCAACGCTCAAGTTATGCTTTCTTTGTCTAGTGGTGAATCTTCCAGCTTGGATCGAACTTGAACGCGACAAAATGATTAAAACTAAGATTGTGAAGATCATCATAGTGATCACAACATCTCGTTTCATTGTTGCATACCGCGAAGAAAATAATACCATATTTTAAAATGAAAAGAAACTTGAATATATCTCTCAAAACTTTATTACTCTTCTTCTTTGCGTCTCTCTCTCTTATCTTCAATAGTCAGGACCTAAGAGAATTTAAGAGGAATAAGGAGAGGAGAAATAGATGGGTCAGCAGCAGCATTCATTACATTACTTATTGCAGTGATATGACTACACAATTATCATCACTTATCATTTCGTACAAGAATAATTATGTGTGTATTAACAAATTAGAAATGATCATAGATCGATGGGTATGTTCTACGTACGCAATCGCCTCCAATCGTTATATCAGTAAAAGTGTAAAACAGCGTAAATTATTTGGTTATACAAACCCCAAAAATCTTAGTTGTTGGACGTATTACTTTTAAATTTTACTTTAGTCTATATATTAATCACAAATTTAAGAATATACTCTATATATATATTTATGATTTGATTTTGCTTGAATTATTAATGTGTAAACATGTGTATAACTCATATGGTTGAAGGGGAAAGTGAAAATAATATACATATATGTTTAAATAAATAAAAAGGTAAAAAAATGAAAAATATGAAAGCACTGGGGCATATATACACATCCCTCTTTCGAATGGCATTCACTACTCGCACCAACCCGCATTTATCGTCATGTAGTCCATGTTATGCCAGTGGATGTCACAAGGCCTGCGAATATTTTATATCTAGAACATGATGTGTAAGGTTTTAAAAAAAATATATATATTATATGAAAAGAAATCTTGTTTCAGTAGACAAAACTTTATGAGGTGTTGCAAAAAAAAAAAAGAACAGAAGTTGATGTAACAGTGAAATCGAGAATATATAAAGGTTTATTTAAAATTTATGAAATGGCGATACAAGTGAACGCTCTTGAGTATTCATGATGATATACACGCAGATCAAAATTGAAATTCAAAGGAAGATAAACTATAAACCAGTCTGTACTGATTTTTTTTTAACACTAAATAATTATACATTACAAACTATAATAAATATTACATAGACGATAGTATAACCGATAATTTTACTTATCTTATGCGGATTCACGTCTATACTGATTTAATACGTTGAAAACACATATAAACCACTAGCTCAAATGATACTAAACAATACTAAACAAACAGCAACCAAACAATTAACCCTAGGACATTAACCCCCCCCCCCCCCCAAAAAAAATGCATAAGCGATAAATTATATAGCCTTGACCAATTCAAGAAGAAAAAGTCCAACCATGGATGGATGGGAGAAGAAAGCCTTGTTGATGATGCGAGGTGAATAATAGAATACCAACTATATATTGTGAAAAAAAAATACAATGTAAAATTGCTTCAATTTTTTTCTTAAGTTGCTTCATTCCGATATTTTAAATTTCTATCCCCTCTAATTCAATATAGATGATGTTTTAGAAATTTTTTGTTGTTTTGTAATTTACTATGTTTGCATAAATCTATATAACTTTAACTTTATCAAAAATTGTGTAACCAATTGTATTTTTATTATTTATATTTATAATTAAATAAATGTGTGTTTAAATTATATTTAAATGATAATGTTAATAAAATAGTTTTTTAATATTTGTGCAAAAAGTAAATATCATGTCAATAAAAATGAAGGGATTATATTATTTAGCAACTATTTTTATTAAACAATCAAAATATCAAAAAGCCACGTGGCAATATCAGCAGCTGGGCCCAAAAACAAATGTAGGACCCAATAAAAAGCATGGAATCCACGTGTCCTAATATAAACAAGACTAAACACCACAAGTCTCTCTTTCATTCTTCGTCTTTGCCTCACCAACAATCATTCTCTTCTTTACCCCCAAAACTTCTCGAATCCCTCAAAATCAAAATCCCTAATTTCACAAAAACTCAAAAAGTCTCAGACTTTCGATTCGTTCGTGCTCTCTAAATAACAATGGTGAAGAAACGAAAATCCGAAGCCACGCAGCTCGACGAGGTCGACCGAACCATGTACGGCGCGTTTCGAGGCGCTGCTAATTCGCTTTCTCAGCTCTATACACATGCCATGAACCACCAACGCGTGTCTTTCCTCGCTGGTGAACGTCGTGGCTTGGTCTGTTCTCTCTCTCTCTCTCTCTTTGACCTTTGTTTTGATGTTTGGTTTCTGGGTTTGATAGAGAAGAGTGGAAGATGTCTGGTTCTTGTTGGGCGGAAGATAAAGTTGAATACTTTATTTGTTTTGTTGGTTATTTAATCTGAAAGTCTTAGACTTGGTTCTTGTGTTGCTTTGGCAAACTCTGTTTTACAGTTTGGTGATGTTTGTTTGTTTTATGTCTGGTTATTGTTAGGTGGAAGAGAAAGTTGAATACGTTATTTGGTTTGTTGGTTATTAATAAGATGTTTAGTCAGGTAATAAATCATAGAAGATGTTATATAATGTGAAAGTCTTAGTCTTGGTTCTTGGTGTTGCTTTGGTAAACTCTGTTTTTTTTTCCTTTGGGAAACTAATGGTCTGATTGATGAAGCTTGTTTGCATATAGAGCTAAGTAGTGTTACTGGTTCAAAGTTTTGGGCTTTTGATCTTGAATTTGTATACTTTTGTTTTTACTCTTAGGCTAAGGTATTTGAATAACTAGATTGATGAACTTGGAGGGTTTTATTCAATGGGGTTTTTATGTTCTGATCTATGAAGCTAACCGGTCTTGTTTGTACAAAGTTGTGGCCTTTTGATCTTGAATTGCTTACTTTTTGTTTTCACTCTCAGGCTTAAGTATTTGAACAACTAGATTGATGAACTAGGAGGGTCTCATTCAATAGGGTTTTTATCTTCTGATCTATGAAGCTAATCAGTCTTGTTTGTACAAAGTTATGGCCTTTTGATCTCGAAGTTCTTAGTTTTTTTTACTCAGGCTAAGGTATTTGATCAACTAGGAGGGTTTCATTCAATAGGGTTTTTATGTTCTGATTTCTGAAGCTAAGCAAGCAGCCTTATTGGTACAAAGTTGTAGCTTTTGGTATGTAAGGTATTTAGTTTAGTTTAAGATATATGAACAACTCAATTCAGAAATACCACATTGATCTTATTCCTCTTTAGTGGCTACGTTTCAGGATGTTATAGTGTTCTTGTTTTTTTTTCACATTATCATGAGAATTGGGAATGTTCCACTGAATGAAACTTCTTTTTTCTTGTTTTACAGGAGAAGCTTTACCAATGGATTGTGAGACAAGAAGAGCAAGGAACAAGAGTATCCACACATGATATTACTACCTACTTACAGGTTCTTTCCTTTTGAAACAGTACTTGATTTGTGTTTATGCTTTTTACTTAAACTTCATAGTGGTGTTGACATTGACTCGTAATACTGCCCTTGTGTGATTTTGAGAATAACTTTGTGTTTGCTATTATAAAACCTTTTTGCAGAATGAGCTTGAATATGAGCCTGAGGAGACATCAATACCACCACCCATGCAAGAGTTTCATCAGACCCACCAATTCGCTCCACCAAACATACACACTTCAACACCTCATCCCCCTTCAAGCCACATAGCACAACACTATGATTATAACCAAGAGAAACTCTTGACTCAACCAAATGGTCTCTCCAGTCCTGTTAGAAGAACCCTTCAAGGCTTCAACTTGTGTGAGGCTGAGCCTGATAACAACAATCCAAACTCTAGAGACCAGGGGTTTATTTAACTGATTATCTTTTGTTTCATTTTGGCAACAATTAAAACCAAAAAAAAATCAAATTGTAAAGTCTCAATTGTTTCTGGTATTGTCTCATATAATACAAAAATCTTTGGATGACATCTGATAGCGATTTTGTCTAAGAGACGGCGATATTTGGTAATTTCATGTCTTGTCTAAGCTCTCAAAGACTTAAATGTAGAGTCTTGTTAACAGTGATGAAAGAGAGACAAAGATTGATTATATATATATTCAAATGGGACCAAACCTTACATGTGCCCTCCCTCATGGTCCCTCTCTCTCTATTCAACTTGTCTACCAAAAACTTTGCTTTGATGTCGGTCTACGGCGAGTTACGTGTTTCTATATAAAACCTGAGAAGTCTTTGAGAAACTCTGGAGATAGATAAAATCAGAAGTTACAGAAACACATTTGTTTCTTTGGTCATGACTTTCTCTGTACTAACAAAACATTTATCAGCAGGTGTTGTCTAGAGTTTGTCACTGATTCTTTGTACATGACATTTTGGTTGATCACTCTGGAATTTTCCATTCTTTGTTTCTTTCAGAAAATTTTCAAACGTAGAAGTCTAATCCAATTCACTTATATGGGCTATTCATATGAAACTCGTTATAATAAAATTATAAAGAATTCAAATGATAACATACAAAACAAGTATTATTTTTTTTTATTAGTAACTGCAGTGCTGGTCAGTATTCAATACCAAAGTATTGGAAATAACTTGTCAAAGAAATTATATATATATATATATATATATAATTAGGTCAACAAACAATAAAATCAGGTCAAATATCCATTTATTCCTTGGGGGGTAGATAGCTTAATATCAAAATTCAAATCGTTGAGTTTTCATACTAGAATTGTCAATTTTTCTTTCAACTAACACCTTAGAATATGAATCTAGTAAGTTAATTTCAAGAAGTGAAAGATCATAAAATGATCACGTGGTTATAATGATATTAAATGATTTATAAACTTAGCTTTTGATGATTTGTTTTAAAATAATTGGAAAAAGAAAGTAGGCCAACTCTTGTCTGAAAATTTTATAGTTGAAGAAATTGAATTGTAATAATGAATGGCTAACTGGGAAACACATGACTCTACAAACTTTACGTCCTTTTTGCTATATATATTTATACACTCTCTCTACCATGTCCCCGACCCCCACACTCCAATCTCCATCCCTAACGTGGTCCATATTTTTTTTTTAATCAAAATTAATAAGAATTAGGTAACTCACGTTAACAACGAGATTCCCATTCATGATTTAGCTAAATGAAAAATTTAGTTACTTAATTTAAATCCTGTAAAACTAATGCACTCTTATCAAACGTTATGAACTCCCCAAACCAATTAATAACTAGTAAAAATGGTTTTTATAGTTTCAGGTTTTTGTATAACATGCTAGATCTCTTACACTCCTCTTCGTTCACGCTTGACTACGCATAACATGAATGTATATAAACAATTTCAGTATTAATTGGATTTGGTCAAACATAAGACAGTATTAATAGGATGTAAAGTTGTAAGCTATAGGTTATTATTATATGGCTACACTTTCATATAAATAATAAGTTTCCGATGTTCTGATAGATCGTATTCCTCCAAAGGACCACAGTTTCAATATCTCCATATGATCAAAGGACCACTCAATCTCCTATCATCTCCTCGAATTTTTTTATCTTGTCAGAACAATGAATTTATTGCACGCAGCTCATATAGGTAACGTAACTGTTAATTAGTTTGCACAATGGTTTGGCTAAACTAGTTCCAAACTATTAGTTTTGGTTTTAACGCATCCGGGACTAAATGAATCAGCTTATGTGCTAGTGAAATAAACCATTTTGTAACCTCATTAATTAAAATATAAGCATTTGATTCTTTTATTGGTTGCAAACAAGAAAAACTAATTTTGTGGGGATAGGTTTATGTAAATGTGGGAAGACATAGAAATGTTGACGTCAAATCATTCGACCCATATGTCCCAATAACTTCCAAAACGTTATTCAATTCTGATATGCAATTGGGGCCATAAGCTCAGCATACAGAATCATTCATCTCCTATATATAAACACAAAAAGGTTCAATAAAAAAGATAGACATACAGCCAAAAAAAATACAAAAGAGAGTCTCCCCCAAAAAATGGCAACTAGGGTTTCCCACAAGTCTCTCCTCCTGGCACTTCTTCTCATCTTCTTCATTTCTTCTCCTGTTCAAGGTAAATTTATAGCTAATATACTCACATATGCATATACGTGAGTTTTATACTACATCAAGTAGCCATCATGCTTTTAAGAATACTAAAATAGAATACCAAAAATATGTTTCTGATGATATTTTGTTTGTTTTTAAGCACGAAGCATACGAGGAATTGTGAGGAAGAGAACACTATTGGTTGTGGAGAAGAATCAAGAGAGTCGAAACTCATGGCAATACGGTGGAGGAAGTGATGGTGATGGATTGGTGGATATGGATTATAATTGTGCGAACAAGAAAAGACCAATACATAATCGCAAATAAACACATATATGATGACGCACTTATCAAATTTCTTGTGAGATATCCATAGGTTCTAAGATATCCCGAGATTATGTGATCTATTCAACAGAAATTACTTTTGAAGTATTGAAAATATTGTTATACATGAATATATTAAGTATAATCGAGGTTGTATGGCCTACACATGTGTACAGCCTTGTCTCGATAAAAAGAGTTTATGTAATATTCATAGTTTGTGTGTGTGTGTGTGTGTTTATGTATGGATTGCATCGTGGGTTCCTGTTTGCGAATAAATGTCAATGGATATATGTATTTTATGTGTATAAATAGAGGCTCTAACATCTTTTAAGATTATTGTAAGAATTATTTACTATGATCGCAAGTGTTGCAAATTAACCCTTTTCGCAAAGAAAGATTGCATGTGTTGTACGTAGTTAAAAAAACCATGTTGGTGCATTATATATGACATAGTGAGCGCATTAATATTCGTATTCTACTTGAGCGTCTGCATAATATTGGTGGTTTTAAATCATTTGCTGACACACAAATTAAATAACCATGTAAAATTCTGCCATAATAGATTAAGAATATCAAAATTTTATAACATAATGGTTTAGCGCCAAATGTTATTTTTCATGCCGGGAGTAGTGTTTAATATTAAGTATTAACAATTTTGAGGAAAATAATTGGAACTTTTCACGGTCTCAGATTCATGGAACCTTGCTATATAGAGGTTGTACATGTTGCTGCTGGGGTTGTACTCGAGTAATGATGGGCCTTTTAATGATCGTCGCACAATAGACTTACAAATGTTGCGGCCCATGAAATAAAACGTATGATCGGCCCAAGACTTGCAGAACTTTTAGTCAGGGCATAAAAAACCGGAACCGAACCAAAATATCCAAAACCAGAACCGAACCGAAACCCTTAAATATCCGAAGGATTTTAATATTTATATATCCCAAATAACCGAACCGAGAACCGAACGAATACCCGAATATATAATAATATTAATTTTCTATACATATAACATAACTAAATATATGATTTTAATTTAAAGATCTATTAAAAGTATCCAAAAATAGTTGAAGATAGCGAAATAATTATAGAGTATCCGAACTACTATAATTTTATCCAAAATATCCAAATTTGTCTCTAAATCGTTTTAAATTTTTAATTATTTGATATTTTATCCTAAATAACCGATAATTTACCTGAATCCGAACCGAAACTAAATGAGAACCAAAATTTTCAAGTATTTTCTAGCTAGTTCCTAGTTTTACTATCCGAACAAAACCGAACCCAAAACTATCCGAACCGAAAATAGGTTAAGTAGTAAATGGATCCTGTAGCTCCCTATCCGAAACCCGAAATACCCGAACCGAACCAAACCGAACTGATACCCGAAACGCCCAGCCCTATGCCTGACCATTGAGATAAATATAATTCCAAAAAACACTGTAATTGTAACCAGTTATATGGTATACGTCTCTCATGTTGGTTCATTATATTCCAGGAAGCAGAGAAGCATTATAATCTGAGATGGTTGTGTCCAATGCCTTGATAGCAAAAATCGACAGGCCATCAGGAATAATCTGTTTCAAGATCGCTAAAGACAGTAACGAGATTCTCAACTCATGGGCAACAAACTTGGAGAAGCTTTTAGATCTTGTTGAAAAGAGTTCTCACAAAATTCACAAAAAAAAACACTATGGTTCATAAAGTTGCGCTAAGAGCTTGAGAAAACCGGTGGTTGAACGACACACACCAAGTGGAAAGAATCTTTCAGGTTGTTGTCACTGTCCTAAAAATTCTTTGTTTGAATTTTGTTTTATTTGTATTGGTATACATTAGAATGCTTTCTCGTCTGTGATCTAGTAAACAGAACTCTTTGTTCCTTTAATTATTTTCTCCCTATTGTGTTTTTCATATTTTACAAATTAATATAATGCAAAATATGATAAAATATTGAAAACAAAACATGCAAGTAACAAAGCCATCAAAACAATAAAACCTAAACGCTAACTTACTTATAGTAAAAAAAAAAAAAAAAAAAAGAAATGAAGCAATTTCCATCAGGAGGATGGACTATTATTATAGTTATTATCATTCCTTGTCTTGTCTGGTGACCATTGTAGATAACCGGTTTCGCTAGCTGATTCCAGCGGCGGTTGAACCGGACAAAACAGAGGACGCGAATGAGACAAAGATGATGACGTGGATAGCATTGTTGAGCCACCTCTATGATCAAAACGCAATGGAAACTGCTGCTGCTGAAACTGTTGTTGTTGATAAGTCATCTCTGAGTAACTCAAGTTGTACGATTGCATCAACGGCTGAGAATGAACGATTTGATCAGAAGCAGGTCTTATGGGCAAAAGGGTACTTGTAGTAGCAGAACCTGAGTTCCTTAACTGTGTTGGTCTCTGAACATGTGTTTGTGGCACAACAGATTGTGTTGCAACGAGTTTAACGTTTTCAGGGAAGTTGAGTTTGGCTTTGCTGCCTCTAAACCGAAGAGCAGCTTCATCGTAAGCTCTTGCAGCTGACTCAGCATTGTCGAACGTACCGAGCCAAACTCTGGCCGCTTTGAACGGATCTCGAATCTCAGCCGCCCATTTACCCCACGGTCTTTGTCTTACTCCTCTGTATCTTCTTCGTGGTTGGTCCCCATTAGACGACGACGTTTCGGTATTACTATTTGTTGTAGTAGTCGTGTATTCATATGTTGGGACTGAACCACCTGACATGTTGCTTGAAGCTTCTCTAACTGTAAACAAACAAACAAACAATAATAAACATATAAAATTTCACACTTTTGTTTTGACTCTTATTTAAAAACAACTACTAATAAATAGAAAGTTCTTAAATAAAGAAGTGATTATGAGAACAATGAACAAGTAGTAAAAAAGAAGCAAGTGGAAAACGACTCTTGAGGCAAATGGAAGGAGATAGATTCTTTTGGCATATCATCATCATTATTTTTGTTATTTAAATATCATGACCTTTTTATTAAAATCCCCTATATATTATTTGAGAAGCATTACAACATTCTTTGGTAGCCACGTGTCAGCATGAGAATGCTTCTCAAATTTACTAGAGAAAAATGTTGGTCCATATAAACATATAATATACTTTTTATTAGCCTAAACATAAAACTATTATTAATGCTATTCATTATTTCCTTAAATAAAATTTACGGAATTACCTAATATNATAACTCTTAGAGAAATATGTTGGTCCAACTAAACATACGTTTATTTTTATTATACCAACTATCATATTTAATTAGTAGTGTACAAAAGAAGATTTTTTATTCTTTCCTTAAATAAAAGCTACGGAATTACCTAATATGATTAACATATATATCACAATTAATGTTTATGAATAATAAATATTTGATAACAATTTTTTATACTCTTTATGTTTTATTTAATTTATATTATTAAAAGAAATTAAAAATCACATTAATTATATAATAAGATTTTTTTATTTGTTCTTATACGTTATATTTGAAATTTTTTAAAACGACCTTAAATTACTTAAGATGGTAAAAATCTCACACTGAAATTTTGTGATCAATGGTAACGATTTTAGTTCAGCCAATCGTTTTTCTAATGGGTCTTAAACAGTTCATAATGATTAACTAAATGGATCACCCATAATAGCGTGTGTTTTGTTTAAAATTTTTGCATATCCAAAATCAATATGAACCATCATCCAATTCGTTTTAATTTTTGGTATAATAAAAAAAATATATGGTTGGACAAAAAAAACTAAATCCAAATAACCGAACCAAATCTAACCCAAAAATGAATACAAATTTTTAAGCAAAATTGGTAAGATATCCAAGCGAATTCGAAATTTTGGTATCTAGATAATCAAAACTGAATCGAAAAATTTCGGGTATCCGAGTGTACTCGAACCAGATTTATATTCTTAAATATATTAATTATTTTTAAATTTAACATCTAAGAATATACAAAACACATGAGATGTTTTAAAAAATTCTAAAATACTTAGAAATATGTAAAATAGTTANTCTAAGAATATACAAAACACATGAGATGTTTTAAAAAATTCTAAAATACTTAGAAATATGTAAAATAGTTAAATGCAAATTTTTAAAATAGCCAAACGATACTCTAAATACCAAAAATATTTGAAATATTTATTGATTTTTTGTCCAAATATTTATGATAAATCAATTTTATGTTAATTTTAAGTATTTTGTCATTCATGTTATATATTATTTCTACTTTTAGGTTTTGAAAAACTTAAAGTATATATGAATTTTAATCTTTTTTATAAAAATTAAATGGGTTATGCGAACTTATACCCAATCTGAACCTGTAAAAATTCAAACCAAACCGCAATGATCTAAACCAAACATAATCTAACCGGAAAAATAGTACCCAAATGTCCATATTGATAGCAAAATATATATTTAAATACAACATATTTTTAAAAAGCTCACTCTGCGCATGGCGCGGGTTATCATCTAGTTCTTAAAGTATATGTCCGGATAATCAAGTACACTTTTAATCACCCATTTTTTTCTTCTTATATTATATTTTTTTGTTGTAGTTCAAAAACAAGCAACCTTCGCTATATTTATGTCACAGAACACCTAAACATTCAGTATACATGCATTAGTTTCTCAATACAAGAAATTTCCTATTGAGATTTTTGATAGTCTTGTGAAAAAAAAATTCATTGCTTATAAAGGAACACATTGGACTCGTAGAGAGAAAAACACATTTAACTATTTTTTATGTTGTCTTTGTATATTGTGTTAGGGCAACTTCTTAAGAAACACAGAAAGAGAAAATCTATTTATTTATTTTTTGAAAAAGCACTACTGTATTTAGATTTCTAACTTAGGAATATATGATGCGACCATACACTAGATGTAAATAATAATAAATTCATCATCTTTATAAATTATACATATATCATAAATGACCTTTCAAAATTAAAACCTCTCACAATTAATTTGAATTTTTTATAACAAAATTAAGGAAAACGTCACTTTCAGATATTCTATGTTTTAAATCGACCATTCTCTTATATGTATTTACACATTAAAAAGGATTTATCAGCACAAAAATCTACTTCCACCATTTTTAGCATAGTATTTCGTATTCATGTCGAATATAATTCAATCATAAATCATATAGTGCACGCGTGTGTTATGTATGACATGATTTTTTTTTTTAAAAACAGCAACATGAATTACCTTTAGAACTAGAACTGCCGCCGGATAAATACTGATCAACAGTCAAAGTATTAGCTGCCTTAACTGATTTGCCACCTTCCTCCACCTCTCTCCTCCTCTTCTGCCCGGAGGAGGAAGAGGAATTCGAAGTCCCATCTCCACCTCCACCGCTACCATCACAACCACCGTCTTGACGAGTAGGAACATTTCCAGCGACTACATGTGTCAAAGCAGAGACTATTGCAGACATCTCCACCTCTCTGCTATAACTTGACAACGAGGGAGGCATGAAAGCGTTATCATGGTGGAGATGGTCGTCTTCCGCCGTGAATGAGTATAGCCATTGATCGATGTCTGATAACGTCCCATGATCATCATCATCATCTTCTCGAGTGGTAAACTCGGCTTTTTTACCAACGTTTCCTTCTTGATTTGCCACTTTTATGGTACACATAAAAAAACCCTCGTAACTCTAATCCTCCTCTGAAACTTAAAAGCTTATAAGCCTAGAAATTTTTAAAAATATATATCGTTTTCTTTTCTTAGAGGGAAAGAAAACTCTGCAGAGAAAAAACAGAGAAGCAGAGAGAAAGAAAGACAGAGATTTTACGAGATGTTTCTTTTTAAGACAGAACAAGGTTTAAGCTAAATAGATATACAATTTTTTTTTGTTTCTGTAAACATTTTTATTCCATTTTAAACAAAAAAAAACTTTTTATTCCGCGCCGCCAAATATATAAAAAGAGTTCTCGCTCTGTTTCAGCCGTGTGAAAAGAAAACACGCACTTTTATAACATAGTAAAATAGAGTAAATAATTCATATATTATAAAGTCGAAGTAAAATTTAGTTTTGAAGATTCAGGCCAATATGAACATATTGGGTAAACTGAGAGTAATGGATCTGAAACTTTTGCAACTTGTTGTGGGTAGGTTCATCGACATGGAAGTGAACTATTTAACTGTCGTAATCAAAACTTAAACGAGCCTAATAAACTAAAAGAATTAAGAAAAAAGGACATCAATTAGACAAGTTGCAAGGTAAAAACCAAAAGCTATAACCACTGTTAAACAATATGGAGACTTTGAGACACTTGAACAAAAAAAAAAAAGACTTTGAGACACCATTATTAATTACTATCTTTATGGTTCGGTGATTTTATATGATTACCATGGTAATGAATTGCTGAAAAATAGGCAAAAGCATTAAATAAAATATTATTATTAAAATAAGATATTTGCCTAAACGGTGAGCTTGAAGGTCAAGTTGAAGAGATAAGACGTACCGTACAAAAGCGCGTGTCTCGCACGAGTGCGGTGTTGGTTCGTGCCGACGTCAAAGGTTCCGTTTGGACGGTGTCGGTGATGAAATGTTAGCGCACGTGACTTTTATGGGCCTTACCTACGGCCCACTTATTTTAAAGTTCGTGTTCGTTCTTGTTCAATTGTATTTTTGACCGTTTGACCCAGGAAATATTCTTTGTTTTCGATTTTTCTTGCTCCAGTCTAAATATTTTCCAACCTCAATAAACTCTACTTTTTTTGTTTTGGTTAACCTTGATCCCGCCAAAATGTTCTATATTAGAGATTGAAGCGAGTAAAGACATTATCAGAGTGTCATCATGTTGTTAATTTATAACGATTTTTGGTCTCGGATACTGCAGGTCATATATAAATTCCGCAGTGACTTAGTCTCGAATCCAGAGACGATGACTCTAGCTGAAACTCTACTTTTTATAAGAGTAGGTATTGGTTATTTGATTCGTTGTCAACTTATATGGATATATCTATGGAAAAAAATTGTTAAATAAAAATAAGAAGTAAAACCAAATGTCTATGTAGAAGATGATAATAATAATAATTTGTTTTGTTAATACTTGGTCCGAAAATAAAACATGCAACTTAAGAAAAGTTTAAAAGAGATGAAATCGAATGACATTTGAAATAGAACTGTATAACATATTCTCGTCTCGATACAGATTTTGACCAAGAATGGTTCAGCGATTACTCGTAGCTTCAACTTTCTAGTCTGAACACGTGATTAACTATTGATTAACTATTGATATTATATTAACCTGAGTTTATTTTATAGTGGGAGTAACTTGAGGACTATCTCGAATTCGTTTGTTTTATTTTCAAAATCTAAGCAAGTGTGCTCACAAGTTGACGTAGTTGGTATTTTTACATTTTTACACGCGAGCACTTGGCTAATTTCGCACTTAGTTTCTACTTGGTTAATTAAGCAGCCACATTATTTAACCCGTTAACAAATTTATTTTTGAAATTGGAATACCAGAGAAATTGTTAAAACTCGATGGTTAAGATGTTACATTTTTATGAGCCTGATGTTTATGTCCCTTTATCGAATTATACGGCAAAATAGACAAAGCTTTTCAATTGTCAATTATTTTATACGGTGATATTGGATAATTACTAGTTCCGAACTTCTTATATAGAAATATTATAATAAAATAAATTTAGAAATAGGCATCCAAAGTTGAGATCGATCCAAATACGGAAACTCAACGATTATTAAACTACTATTTTCGCATGTGTGTGTGCCTATCGCCTAACCTAATCTCTAATTAAATTCGCATTAACAAAAGACGTTAAGTCATATGGATTATTATAAGAATATCCATTCAACTTGCAATTTAAAAACTATTTTAACGTGGCCAAGCCGAAGAACAACGCATTATCAGCTTAATTAAGTTCAGGCGTGTACGATAATGCCTTCTTTTTTTCTAACGATAATCAACTTGTCTCTTTCTGTAAAATAAATAAGCAGATTATCGTATCAAACTAGCTAAACTGATAATACAGTGTGCACTTAAATGATTACGATATTCTCTTAGAAAACCAGAATGTATGCACAAAAACACCAGAGTCGTATATACATGGGGAAATTATTTTATTTTATTAATCACTTCTGGACGTTTTATCTTTATATGTTCTTAGGAGACAAAATAAAAATATTCGTCTGAAAAAGAAACAATTAGTTATGTTTAGCATATTCTTTCTTTTTGCCAACTAGATGGTACTTATGTTTAATTTGAGTTTAATAAAGAGAAAAAGGATAAAGTTTGAAACTGTTGCCACTTGTATATAAATATCCTCAACATTTGGCAAGTTGGCATCGCAATTCGCAACTTGATCGTTGTGTCTCGAAGGGATGTGCGACGAACATGGGAAATAATAATAAAACTATGTAATTAATATACTAATTACTAATCTATCTTAGCTAATTAAAAATTATCAAAGTTTAGTAGTACAAATAGAGCTTTATCACCCGCTTAGTTGTAACTAAAATATGATTTGAAAAAAATGTTGTCGACATGAAAAATTCGGATTCTATTCTATGTTATTTTTTAACTACTAGCTACTTTTTTTTTAAAACACTTCTTTTTTGAAACACTAACTACTAGCTACTATATATGGACTTTGCCAAAAGAAAGCTACTATATACGTAACACATATGTCGTGTTTGTTACATCTTCCGATATATTAAAACATTTTGTTGATAATCCAGCACGGAGTTTTATATTTGCTCATATATGAATGAAGCAGAATTCAGATTTTGGGTTCTCATTAAACATGTCAGCGTTCTTTAACGTTCATATAACAAAATTAAAACTTGATCAAGTCATTTAATCACCTGTAAATACATGCAAAGGTTCAGACTTATCATCATGCGTTTCAAAGAACCACTGAAAATTGAATTATACTATGGGCCTACGGGGTTAGATATCTCATTCTATACATAGTGTTTTTGTGATTATGTTCAAAATAAAGTTTATCGCATGCGCAAAAATTGATTTTCGTAATATCTAAACAAATATTAGATAATTTACGTATTTAACCATACTAGATTAAACAATTCATGATCTCTTAAATTTTTATTGGCCAGCAGCCATCATTAAATTTTCCAAAATACTTTTCTTTGGTATTCAATGTGGTAATTAGCTAATCTAGATACACCTTCGTAACTGTAGTATTATGTGCATTAAAGTTTTTGACAATTTCTTTTTAAAATGAAAGATAATATATGAAACTTTGCTATAGTTTGATTAATCAAAATTTCTTATTATAATATAAAATTTGAAGATGGAAAATGAGACATCGGAAGTATTCAACTGAATCTTCTATATATTCAGTATTATTCTAATGGGTTCTGTTGAATCGAACTTCTCGTGTATCCGTTTTTTTTTATAAGTGTATCCGTTATAACTATAGATTATATTATGAATCATGATATTTGGAAATATGATAGCGGTCTAAATATGTAATTATATGTCAACTATATGTTAATCTAGACGACTACATTTCTCAAAGAAAGCCAAGATTTTTGAAAATTATTATTTGCTATAGATATTCTCGTCAAGTGGTCATCTACCCAAGTCTTTACAGCAACGTAAACTTAACCTACTATCTGACTAAACTCGAATCGAAGTGTTATGGATTACCTGTTAATGCCAAAATGAAAGAACAACAAAATAAAAAAGTGTGTGAGTGCTGCTAGTTAGATGTTCTTGTGATCAAACGTTCAGCATAAGAACATTTCTTTTGAACGAACGTTTTTACTTTCTTAAACAAAACGTGCGTTTCGTTTGGTCTTTTGTTTTCAGCTTTTGCTTCGATATATAGGCATTGATTGGTAACCATGCGGAATGGCGGAATGACTTATGAAACGCGATTCCGCAAGAATTTTGCCAATCAACGAAATGTTGCGAAATGAAAAAAAAAAC